CCTAGTTGAGACTGACCTGGAACTCACTATGTAGCCCAGGCTGGTCTCGAACTTACAGTGATCCTCCTGCCTCAGCCTCCCAAGTACACCACGACACCCAGCACTCCCATTATGATTGATAAGGCCCTGGATCATTTTCCACTGCCTTTCTTTCCAGCCCCATCTTCCACCACTCTTTTCAATGAACTCTCTGTTCCTGAGCTGTTTCACAGGCTCAGGTCTTCTGGCACCAGCTTCAGCTCTACCATTGCATAAAACAACATACTGATGAGGCTGGATGACAATACCTGACTTGTAAACATATAAGGAACTCATACTGGGCCGAAATGCATCCTGTGCAGAGTTGAACATTCCAAATGACATCCACCTACACCACTGTCTTTTCTAAGCAACTAATTCTCCTTTGATGAAAAGCATCAACTTTAAATTTCACATAAACATTAAGAGCTGGAAGCCAGGTGTGATGGTGTACACTTGAAATCTCAGCACTCTGGAGGCTGAGGTAGAAAGATTGCAAGTTTGAGTCTTGCCTGGGTAAAAAATAAGAAGAGCTGGGGGCTGTAGCTCGGTGTGAAGGTCCTCAATTCAATCCCCAGTACTGCAAAATCATAAACTAAGAGGAGGAGAAGGCTGATTTATCTACCCAGCAATTAGAAAAGACTTATGGAAATAGTGTTTGTAGGATTCCTAAACACAATAGTGTTAACTGAGTACCTGAAGTACTGGGATCTAATAGAAAGAACACTGGCCCTGGAATCAGACAGACCTCCTACCTGATGCTTCCATTTACCAAATGCATGATGTCGGACAAGTGACATGAGTCTTGACTTCTGATTTCTTGAAGTCTAAGAGAAAGTGGTTGTGAAAATCTACATCTTACGTGATTATGTTGAAGATTAAATAAGATATAAAACGTGAATGCTCCTAGACTGTTTTAAGGATATTAGTATATTTCAGTTATAATTGTTAACCAATCTGTTCAGCGAAGATGAAAGGTAGAATTTTGTCTTCCTTCCCATTCTTTCTTGGACATTTGGAACTAGAAGTAAAGACAGTCCAGTATAATTTGATTTGGGTTTTTTTGTTGTTTTTGTTTTTTGTGGTGGTCACTTGTTGGTGAATAGGGAGATTATAATTGGTAGCATAAATGATAAAACTCAAGTGTCAGATGTGGTCTTTCTGTGCCTTTAACATCTAAATACAATGGAGTTGAACTTAAACTGTCCCATTTTTTAACTCTTGTGGGTTCAAAGTTTACAAGATTTCTATGTATTTCATGACAGGTTGTGCTCTTAAAGTTACAGCCACCTCCAACTCCTTTTTTCAATTAAAACAGAACTAATCATTGCTCAACTTCCTTGCTCATGCAGCCTCAGTCTCTCTTAGACAGCATTCCTGAGTGTGATAGTCTGTCCTGAAGTCTATCATAGGTCACAACCAGTGGATGACAAACCGTTTACCCATTTTAGGCATTCCAGTGCTTACACCCCCTTTTGCCTACCTACCATGAGAATCTTTCTTCTGACTCTATCCATGGAGCACTCTTCTAGTGATTTTCTTACTCATTTTCTTCCATTCTCCCTCCTACTTTTCTTTACTACACCTCCCTCCCATTTTCCCAAGTGATTCCAAGCCCTCTTTTTCATGCACTCCCTTTTTTTTCCTCCAAAACTTACACATCCTTGCATATCCATACTCATCAAGGCCCTGAGTAGGACAAAAGGACCTTCTGTGCATATGGATCTGTCCTTCCTACAAGGCAGTTGTGGTTAAAAATGGCATTTTTTTCTATTGTAACAAGGCAGTTGTGGTTAAAAATGGCATTATAACAACCACAATGTTTCAGTGCTTACTGTATGCCTCACACTTGATCAAGTTCTTTCCAGTAGCTCCTTTTCTCGTTTGCCTTTCACTACTGGAAAGCAGCTCTCATTACTGCTCTTCCTATAAATGAGGAAGTGGTGTGTGTGTGTGTGTGTGTGTGTGTGTGTGTGTATGTGTGTGAAAATTGTGAGATTATTGACCTAAGGACACACAGCAAAGAAGTAATGGGGTTAGGATCAAAAACAAGGTTTTTCTGGCCCCAAAGCTGGACTCTTTTTCTTTTACTCAATGGCCTTTGGGGGAAGGAAAAGAAAGCAACCAGAAGACCTCAGGCTACATAAAAGTAATACCATCTGTTCTCATATTGTTTCACAACTTTAAAAGGATGGCTTTATATGTTATCTCATTGTTCCTGTAAAGAACAGATAATCATTATCATCTCACTCCTTTTGAGATGAGGAAACTAGAGCCCTGTGGCAAAAAGGGGGTGAAGCAGTTCAGGAGGAGGGGTAAAAGTGGTATGGCTGGCAAGCAAAGGAGAGGATATTTTGTACAAAAGCAGAAGAGGCAATGTCCACCTCCCAGTGTTATGGTATACGGGGAGTGGGAAAATGAGAAGCCTTCTTGCAAAGAGGTACAGGGGAGGTAGTAGACCGGAAGAGGGTACAGTTATTAATAAAGATAACCAGTAGCTTGGATATTTGAAAGATGCTGAGAGTTAGCAGAGTTTGTTGATAAAGGAATAAGATTCTAAAGGGCACAGGGAAAGGGCTGGCAGTATGGTTCATGGGCAGTGGAAATTGTGAATGAAAGGACTGGCAAGACATTCAGAATACTTAGAAGGATTAGGAATCTGAACGAGAGACCAGACAAGCAGAGGGGTTGTTAGTCTAAGTGGTTCCCTAGGCTGTGGAGAAATATCACAGGCAGGGTCACAGTGGAACTCAGGAAAGAGCTGGTTTTGGTGTCTTGCTGCAATCTGTAAAGTTTGAGATGAGGGAAGTGTAGGGAAAGACAATGGCTGTAGACCAAAACTGTAGCTGGCTCATGTGACCTCTGGAAGACTGGAAGTGAAGTCTCCATCAGGATTTGAAAGTGAGGGGCTGGTTACTCCCCATAGTCATCACCCTAAACAGAGCTGGAACTTCCTAATGCTCAGGAAAGAATATTTTCTTTCTCATTCCAGCCCACAGCAAAGCTCAGTTCCTAACATCTACGCTATCAGCAAAGCTCTCTGGTCACCTAGTAAGTTTATTCTATGGAATGAGGTGAGGTAAATCATGCTACGGGTGTAGCGCAGTGGTCTAGAGCTTGCCTAACATGCTCAGGCCCTGGATTCCATTTTCAGTATTGCAAACATAGCAAAACAAACAGAAATAAGAATTAATGTTAAGTCTTGGGCTGGGCATGGTGGCACACTTCGGTAATAGCAACATTTTGGAGGTTGAGGCAGGAGGATCACTGCGAGTTCAAGGCCAGCTGGAGCTACATATTTCAAGGCCAGCCTGGAATACATACAGCTAGCCCTGAAAAAAAAAAGTTAAGTCACGAGAGTCGCCCAGATGTGGGGTTAACCCATACCTTGGATTCCCTATATTTGGCAGGAGCGAGGGGGCGGGGCGGGTCAAGCACGGCCCCGCCCCTGGGCGGGGAAATAGGCGGGGCCTGAAG